GCATTGATTACCGGGAGTTAAACAAGCTAACGGTGAAGAACTATTATACACTCTCGAGGATAGACGACCTCTTTGATCAGTTGCAGGGCGCATCTTGGTTTTCCAAGATCGATTTGAGGTTCGGATACCACCAGGTCAGGGTCAGGGAGGAGGACGTGGAGAAGACCGCATTCCGAACTCGTTATGGACATTACGAGTTCGTGGTGATGCCGTTTGGGCTCACCAATGTGCCAGCAGTGTTTATGGACCTAATGAATCGGGTCTGCAGACCGATGCTCGGCCGCTCGGTCATAGTGTTTATAGATGATATCTTGGTGTATTCCAAGACCGAGAGCAGCATGAGGAGCATGTGCAAGAGCTGTTGGGGGTCCTGAGGCGGGAACGGCTGTACACCAAGTTCTCGAAGTATGAGTTTTGGTTGCGAGAGGTCCAGTTCCTCGGACATCTCGTTAACCAAGAGGGGATTTTGGTCGATCCGGCCAAGATCGAGGCGGTTATGCAGTGGGAGGTCTTGAAATCCCCCTCGGATATTAGGAGCTTTTTGGGACTGGCAGGATACTATCGGAGATTTATATGGGATTTCTAGAAGATTGTAGTACCCCTCACACGCCTCACGAGGAAAGGGGTGAATTTTCGGTGGGGTCCCAAATAGCAGGGAGCGTTTGAGACCCTCTGCCAGTGTCTGTGTGAGGCGCCAGTCCTGACACTCCCGGAGGGAGTTGAGGATTTTGTGGTGTTCAGTGATGCCTCCATCACAGGGTTAGGGGCGGTTCTCATGCAGAGGGGACGTGTGATAGCCTACGCATCGCGGCAGCTGAAACCGCATGAGACCTGATACCCTACGCACGATTTGGAGCTGGGGGCGGTGGTGTTCGCCTCCAAGATATGGAGACATTACCTTTATTGGGTCCGTTGTACCATTTACACGGATCACAAGAGCTTGAGACACATCATGGATCAGCTGAACCTAAACATGAGGCAGCGCAGGTGGCTCGATATAGTCAAGGACTATGATTGCGAGATCATTTACCACCCTGGTAAGGCGAATATGGTTGCGGATGCTTTGAGTCGCAAGTCGGCGGGGTCTTCCACTCCCGAAATATGTATGAAAATAGTTGTGGACTCCCCGATTGTGAGCTTGATCAGAGATTCCCAGATAGAGGGCATGCGACCGGAAAATTTTGCAGAGGGAAAGGATCAAGGGTGAAAACACCAGGTTTGTGCAGGATAGTCGGGGATTACTGACTAGGTATATTCGGGTTTGGGTTCCGATGTCTGGCGGGATCAGACAGATGGTTATGGAAGAGGCTCATAAGTCTCATTTCTCCATCCACCCGGGGGCCACCAAGATGTATCGGGATTTGAGTTTGAGCTATTGGTGGTCGGGTATGAAGTGGGAGATTGCTTGGTACGTCGAGAGGTGCTTGACCTGTAGCATGGTCAAGGCGGAACATCAAAGGCCGCATGGAAAGCTGCAGCACCTGGAGATTCCCATGTGGAAGTGGGAGCAGATCATGATGGACTTTATCACCAAGCTACCAAAGATGGTGAAGGGATTCGATGCTATTTGGGTCATCGTGGACCGATTGCCCAAGAGTGCCCATTTCTTGGCCATACGGGAGAGTTCGTCGGCCGAGAAGTTGGCCGAGGTGTATGTTCGCGAGATTGTGTCTCGCCATGGGATTCCCGTTTCCATTGTCTCGGATCGGGATGTCAGGTTTACCTCCTATTTCTAGCGAAACTTTCACGAGGAGCTGGGCACACAGTTGCACTTCAGCACAGCATTCCACCCTCAGACAGACGGCCAGAGCGAATGGACTATTCAGACCCTGTAGGACATGCTGAGGGTGTGTCATTGACTTCGGTGGGAGCTGGGATTCTCACCTACCACTTGCAGAGTTCACCTACAACAACAGCTATCATTCTAGCCTTGGCGCCCCACCATTCAAGTTGTTGTACGGGCGGAGATGTTGCACTCCGATTTGTTGGGGGGAGGTGGGTCACAGGGTAATGGGCCGGACAGAGGTAGTTTTGTAGACGATCGAGAAGATTCAACAGATCAGACAGAGATTGCAGACAGCTCAGAGTCGGCAGAAAAGTTACACCGACAGACGCCGATCTGAATTGGAATTCTAGACCGGTGACATGGTACTTCTGAAGGTCTCGCCCTGGAAGGGTGTGATCTGTTTCAGTAAAAGGGGAAAATTGGGCCCTTGATATATTGGGCCATTAAGGATAATCGTAAGGGTTGGAAAGGTGGCTTATAGACTAGAGCTTCCAGAAGAGCTTAGTCAGATACACAATACCTTCCACGTATCGCAATTGCGAAAGTGCGTTACGGACCAGGAGGCTGTGGTATCATTGGATGATGTTTAGATCGACGAGCGCCTGCACTATGTGGAGAGGCCTGTGGACATTTTGGAAAGAAAGACAAACATTCTGCGGAACAAGGAAACACCTTTAGTAAAGGTACATTGGGAACATCGGAGGGGATCCAAGTGGACATGGGAGCTGGAGGCGGAGATGCACGAGCACTATCCGGTATTATTTAGTCCAGCGGACTTCGAGGACGAAGTCTAGTTTAAGTGGGGGAGAGTTGTAACGCCCCGATTCATAGGTATTATTCAAATTATAGTTTCTTGGTTTTGGCCCTACTCAACGAGTCGGTTACCCTACTCGTCGAGTAGCAGCGGGATTGGATCGCGACTTAAGTGACTGACTCGGCGAGTCCACTAGTAGGACTCGACGAGTAGGATCTGGCTAGTGAAACCCTAATTCCTGGGGTTTGTGTACCTATTTAAAGGATCCTTATCCTCCCTTGGGTCTCTTTACAGTCTTAGTGAGTCCATGATTCGAGTGTGTGTGCTTGTTGAGTGCGTGAATCTTGATTTGAAGATTTTGAAGGAGAAGGCTTGAAGGAAGAGGAGGTTGGAGCAAGTTAGGTGGGGAAATCAGCACTACTTTAAGTTCTCATCTTCCATAGGTACCCTAAATTACCATTTCTTCTGTGAGTTTTCCTATCATTGAAGTTCTAGGGTTTTCTACGGACCTTAAAGGTTGATAAGTTGAACAATGAGTTGGATCTGAAGTTGTAACTTCATATCTGAACCCTCTCTAAGCTCTAGAAACATAAAGTCTCAGAATTGATCATGTATGAGGTCCCTCTTGGGCATGAAGCCCCATTAAGAGCTTAGACTTGGCATCTAGAGCCTTAAATGCAATGCATGTACGTAAAGTTTGTGACTTTACGTGATAAGTATACCATAGAAGCCTAGATCTATGAATTGGAGCCACTGCATGGCTCAGAATAAGTCTGTGTGGAAAAAGACCAAACGGACTCGGCGAGTCACAAGGATGACTCGACGAGTCTGATGAAGGAAGCCATGAAACTCGACGAGTTGGATGAACAACTCGACGAGTCCGATGAAGAAAGTCGTGAACTTGACGAGTTGGATGAACAACTCGGCGAGTCTGATGAAGATCGTCATGAAACTCGGCGAGTCCGATGAAGATCGTCATGAAACTCGGCGAGTTGATGAACAACTTGGCGAGCCAGATGAACTTTCCCAAGGATATGCCCACGTATGCACCCGTTGAGTTTCGCTTAGGAAACCTGAAGAGTGGCTTTAGAGTTTAGTCGAAAAACGAGGGAAACTCGACGAGTCACTCAATGACTCGGCGAGTGCACCGGAAGCCAAGGAAACTCGGCGAGTTAGGTCAAAATGGACTGTTGACCTTGACTGTTGACTTTGACCATTAACCTAAGTTGATCTATTGACTTTTGAGGACAGTTCTAGAAGGATCACAATCTTATGTATGTAATTTGTAATAAATATAGGTGGTGGGATTCGTGACAGTAACCCGAAGGTTGGAACTAATTTATGTGAGTCGACATTTCGAGGTGAGTTATCCTCACTATACTAAGGGGTCTAAGGCACCAAGGCCGGCCCAATGGATTTGATATCTTAGTAGTTATTGATATGTTGATTTGAGTTAGTAATGTGTGCCAATTGATATGCTAGTCGGGTAGATCTGTAGGACTGCTAGTGATACTGATTGATTACCTATATGTGCATTTATGTGTTACGTGTCGACATGTTGTGTGAGGTGGGTTGAGGTTGTACTACTCCGTGCAGTAGCCAACAAACCCGAGAGTATTCCAGATATGAGATGAGGGCCTGGTAGGCATTCCAAACTCATACTGAGGACTCAGGAGCATTCCAGATACGAGCTGAGGGCCCGGTAAGCATTCCAGACTCGTACTGAGGGCTTGATGGCATTCCAGATACGATCTGTGGGCCCGGTAGGCATTCCAGAGTCGTACTAAGGGCCCAGGGGTAATCCAGCTTGTAAGCTGTGGACCCAGTACATGTTGTTCTGTTTTTATTAATATGTATGCTATTGTTGATATTGCTATGTGGACTGTATGTGTATCAGTATTTGGGGTGACTCACTAAGCTTTCGGGCTTACAGTTTCAGTTTATGGTTTCAGGTACCTCAGGGGATCGCGGCAAGGCCAAGGCGTGATCGTACAGCTCCTCCTATTATGTTATGTTTCTAGGAAAAGACTCTGATAATCAATGTTTTGAAAACTAAATTTGTAATCTTTTGATGAACATGACATGTTTTTTAAAAGTTTAAATTTGGTTGAAATTTTGGGTTTTACACATCAACTATGCATCTGGATTCTCCTGAATCAGAAAAAGATGTCTTCCGAAGCTGCATATCTGATATTACTGAGTATCTGCAAAGATTGCTGGAAACGTATGATTCAATTCTTACCATTTCAGTCTAACGACATCTTTCAGAAAAGCTCAAACCTGTGTTCAAATTGCTTAATCAGTTATAGGGTGTTTCGGGAAACAGTGCTTTTCTGAAACAAGGGGGAGAGCAGGTTACTCATCAAAAGATATCCATCCCAACCAAAACCAAAAGAAAAATATGACGAGTAACAACATGAAGACAAAACCAAAAGTGACCAGAAGGGTAATGAATCTTCTATGTCAAACGGAAAAGGGAAAATCATTGAGGAAGAAGAAGAAGATATGTCTGAAGGTGCACAACTCAAAAGGAAGAAACACGATAAATACCTTGATGAGATCATGCAAGTCAATCAAGCGGCTAAAGCTCGTGAAAGAGTAGCTCATGATGAGTGAGTCACTTTGGCCACCAATAAGACTCTCTTTCCTCATTGGTCGATGGAAAGAATTTTAAATGAATTTGTAGAAAACCCAAGTACTCATTGGCTAGAACTAGCTATCTTATTTGAGTTGGAGAATACTTCGGAGTCTCAACTAGATTTACTAATTACTCTGAGGACATTCTTTTTCAGGTGTTTTGAAAAGGTTGAGAAAGCGCCAATTTTAGATTATGATGTCAATCACATGATTTTCTCCTTTTATCTCAAGTATGGTAAGCCTCAATACGAAACCTAGAGTTCAAAGAAGATTGCTACTGTAAAAGTTTTTGGCCTAGATGAAACTGAAAGCTTCATCAATGTTTAGTTCAAAGTGGTACGAGGAGCAGGAAATTCAGTTTTTGAGTTTTCTCTTGCAGATTTGCCTTGCTTAAATCCGTATGATTGGGTTTCATTGTTCTCTCTTTTATCCAAGGATGAACAAAAATATGAACCAATTTTGGCTCATCTAAAGAGGATGTTAGTCTGCTACATAAATGATTTTGGACAAATGGATGTAGAGATACCAATAGTTTTTAGGAAAAAGCCAATTCTGAAGTTCGAAACTGAACTAAAAGATCTTGACAAGATGAAGCTGGAAAGAATAACAAATGATAATTGGAGTGTGGCATTTCAACAAAAGGAATGAGAAAGAGTTCGCAGGTGTTCGTTCTTTCTGTTAGACAAACACTTGTACTCTACGAAGTGCCTAACTATATCCTGGAGATAGCCGAAGCATGTAAAGCAAATGAAGCCTTGGATAAGAAATGTTTTTTAGATATGTTGAAGTGGTACATTTTTGTTCGGAATACTTTACTCGGAATGATGCTGAAGCTTTTTAAAGTTGAAAAATTTCAACAACATTGAAGAATATGCCTTCCTTAATTGACACAAAAGGGGAGATTGTTGGGGTAAATATTGTTGTGTCAATTGTTTTTGTATTAGAATACTCCATTTTGTAATGGGTTGGGCCTGTCCACCCATGTTTTAATGATATAAGGGTAAGACTATTAATAGTGCATCCATGCACCATTTTAGGGTTAATGACTTTGTGTTGCCCTACGCAGTCTTTACATAGAAGTTCTTGTTGAACTCTTTTAAGGCTATTAAATCTAATCATTCAACACCATTTTGATCTTAATTATTCTTATTGTTTTGTCGATTGCACTTGTTAGAATCTATCGATCTATTAGTTATTGTTTCAACATGATGTTTCAACTTGCATGCATAAGGCAACAAATGGTGTTGATTGAGGGTCTCGGTATTAAAAGTGGTGGGAGTTGACGATTCCTAGGAGAGCCTAGGATATGTATGTTGTCAAGCATATGATTGGTATATAGTCCTAGTGTGGTGACTTAGAGGAGTCAGGACGGTTCTTGAGGAAGGTATAGGTTGGTGTGGAACGTATTATTGGGCCTATATTACTGGAAGCACATGAATCTGTACTTGAGACAAGCATAGACCTGGACAATATAATGAGACCTATATAGTTAGAATTCCCTCGAGTCTTATGCTAATTGTTTCTATGTTGTGTTTCAGTTTGAGGATGGTGATGATTATGTTGGATAAGGTGTCTAAGTCCATAACTATTTCTGGTATGTACTTGACCCGACCCGGCATGGTCCATTTGGGTTGCATGGCACCATGCAATTGGATAGACAAAATGAGAGAAATAACACTTGTGGTTTATTAATATATTATAAGTTTTAATATATTAATAATATTATTTAATTAGGTTGATCAAGAATTAATTTAGAATTAATTAAGTGATCAAAAGATAACTAATTAAATATATGGGTTGATTATGTAAATCATCCATATCTTGCATAGTGGGCTAAGAGGCTCCATGGATAATCAAGTTGGGTTAAACCCATTGGATTCTCCATGGAGGCTCCATGGGAGTTACACACCCATGGGTCATGGAAATGAAGAGTCATGACACATTAGGGTTTACATGGTGTAACCCTAGATGTGTCTACACTATATAAAGCTCATGTTTCTCCTAAAATCGGCTACACACATGCATGCTTGAGGGCTAGAGCCGATTTTTAGAGTGTTATACTTTTTCTCCAAGTTTACTCCATAGCATTTGGTGTTGTGTGAAGAATTTGAGGCATCACACTTGGGGTGCTAGGCTCACAATGTTTCAAGGATCAAAATCAACAACAAGGTATGTAGTTCTATCTTTTATTCAAGTTAAAATTGTTCCCCATGTATGCTAGATAGGATCATAACCTTGGAAATCAAATTTGCATGATAATTAGACAAACATAGATCCAAGGTTATTAGGGTTGCATGTACACTTAGGAAGTGTTACAATGCTCAAAACCCATCAGTGGTATCAGATCCTAGGCTTGTTTGTTGATTATTTGTGCAAACCGCTTGAAAAAAATCGTTTTTTTGCTTTCTGCTCGTATGAACTCGCCAAGTCCATGGGGGGATTCGACGAGTCCATGACCAAATCCAAGCTACTCGTCGAGTTTGTTCTTGCACTCGACGAGTAGAGGTTGTAGTTTTCAGAATTTCGATTTTTAGTTGCTGGAAATGGACTAGAAACATTACCCTAAATTGTTTTAGTACTTGTAAACATGTTTTAGGTGGTGTAATGTTTATGATCATCCATTTACAATGACAATTATCATAATTACAAGTTTTAAGTGTAATTTTTTGATTCTTGAAAGTGTTCATATTCATGTTCTTGTTCTTATGATGTTTAGATGATCATAGGAATTGTTTGTAACCTATGTGGTAGATTAATTCATGATCATTATGTGTTTTAATGGAGTCCATAACTTATCCTCAAGTTATGGAAAACCAAAAGTCACTTTGTTAAAAGCCATTAAAATAAAACATGGTTTTAAAAATGAAGAGTCTTCATTTTTAATACTCTATTAACTCATAAGTTACAAGAAATGAAAAGTTTTGAAAGTTTATAAAACTTGCCCTCAAGTTTTGGAACAAGTAAAGTCTTGATTAAAACTTTAGTTCCAACCCTTAGAATTTTAAAAGTTAAAATTCAACCCTTATACTTATAATATTACAAGTTAATAATAATAATAATAATAATAATAATAATAATAATAATAATAATAATAATAATAATAATAATAATATATATATATATATATATATATGTATATATATATATATGTATGTATGTATAAGATCAAAGTCATCTTACTGCTAGTACGCCTCATTCATGAAGCCAGTCTATAAGGTGGGTATAAGGTTGTTGCCTATAAAATGACAACTTAATGGGTGTTCACTCTCACCCACCGCTTGCTTGACTGGTGGAGGGTCGTTAGCCGAACGGGTAGGATAATGACTTAAAAAAAATCTTATTAAAAGTATAATGATTATTATAAAGTAACTAAATGTTTTATAAATTCCCAATCTTAGTTACTTTAGGAAAAATGTGAATAAGGTGCTAATCCATAAAATTACACTTTGCACCTTGTTTAAGTCGTTGGTGGAGCGTATGTGGTTTACCGGCACACTAACTTGGACTTAACAAGGGAGGCAAAGGGTGACTTAAGGTTTTTCATGAGGTCGGAAGGAGCACGTGTGGTTTACCGACATAACGATTAAGTGAAAAACATTAAGGGTACCAAGTAATTTGCATGGTTACTTCACACCTTGTTTTGTGATCCTCGGTATCCCAGTCACAAAACATGAAGGGCACACTCGAGATTGAAACATGCCATTGAAAAGTTCAATGAATCTCAAAGAATCTAGGAATTTCTAAAAGCCAAATAAAATCTAATAATTTATATTTCGTTTTCATGGTGGAAATTGGTGAATCGTCATTCACCTACCTTTCAAATACGTTATAACTTGGATTACGACATCCCTCTTCTAGGTTATAATATATTGTGATTGGATCCTAGCCTTAATATTACATTTGGGTGTTTTATTAAGGACTATCTCTATATCTAAACTAAACTTACTTTCTTCTTTTCAGATGTCTTCCAACAATGCTACTCCTGGCTCAAACCCTACTAGCTCCTTCTCTCTCATGAACCTTTGTGGGAGAGTCATCTTTGATGGATCCAACTTTACTGACTGGATCAGAAACATTAGGATGGTCACTCGTTACGAGAACACGTAATATCTTCTTCACAAGGAGCTCAAGGTGCCTGAGCTAACTGCTACTCCTGAGGAGCTTGCTGAATATGAGGTTCATGAAAGAGATGCTACAAAAGTGGCATGCATCATGATGGCCACCATGTCAATCGAGCTCCAAAAGTCCTATGAGGACTACTATCCTTTTGAGATGCACCAGGATTTGATGGAGTGTTACCATCAGAGTGCTCGTCAAGAGCGATATGAAATCATCTCCTCTATGATCACAACCCGAATGAAAGATGGTAAACCCATCACAAGCCACATGCGGAAAATGAAAAGGTATGTGGATCGATTGATGAAGTTGAATGTGAACTTCCCTGAGGAATTAGCAATAGATATTATTTTGCACTCCTTACCTTCGTGCTATGATCAATTCCGCATGACATACCACATGAATAAGGAGGAAGTTACACTTAGCAAACTTCAGGGACTCCTGAAGACCGCAAAATCAGGTCTTAAAGGTAAGTCGGTTGTGACCACTCCTACTATTACTCCAAACTCAACACCTGTCCTGGCAATCGGGAAAGGTAGAGGGAAGAAGAGAAAGAACCCTTCGAAGGGTACCAAGGGTAAGACCCTTGATGGCTCCTCTTCTAGCGGAACCAAGAAAGGTTTCGTTACACCTTCTTCTGATCCCAAAAAGGCTAAATGCTTCTACTGCCACGAAAAGGCGCACTAGAAGCGTAACCATCCAAAGTACCAGCAAGATTTGAAGGATGGGAAAGTGAAACCCAACCATGCATGTATTTACACTATCTCATCTAATAATTCACTCTATTCTAACTCTTGGGTCCTTGATACCGATTGCGGTATTAATATTTGTTCTGAATTGCAGGGACTAAGAAGAAGTGAGAATGTGGAGCATGGAAAGATAAACTTGATCATGGGGAATAGGAAAGTTTCACCTGTCACCAAGATTGGAGTTTATACTTTGTTGCTTAGTAGTGGATTTACTTTAGATTTGAATAAATGTTCTTATTCTCCAGAAATGGCAAGAAATGTTATTTCCTTTCATGCTTTGTATAAACAAGGTTTTACCTTTTCTTTTGATAATGAAATTAGTGGAATAAATGCTTTCTTTAATAATGTGTTTTATTTTAAAGCATTACCTTGTGATGGTGTGTATGAAACTGTGTCTGTTGTAGATAATTTAGGAAATTACGTATTGTGTATTATTGATTCTACTAATGATAATAACTTGGATAAAGCATCATTATGGCATTGTCGTCTTGGACATATAAGCAAGAAACGCATAGGCCAACTCCAAAAGGATGGAGTTTTGGAATCATTTGGCCTAAAGTCAGATGATAGTTGTGAATCATCCTTACATGGAAAAATGAAAAAGTCACCCTTCACTGGTTCTTGTGAGAGGGGTGAAGGTTTGTTGGATCTTGTACACACAAATGTATGTGGACCCTTCAAAACTGCCACAAGGGATGCTAATCGTTATTATGTGACTTTTACAGATGATTATAGTAGATATGGATATGTATACTTAATCAAGCATAATTTAGAGACTTTTGA